CAAGCTAACTTTCACATCCTAAGATGTGACAATCACCCCAATGTGTTTTTATCACACTTTGTAAGTACCCAGTGAGAGCTGGTAAAAACATGAACTTGTAAACCAAGATATGTTTCTGACTATTCTTACAGGTATCACAGCAAATAGTACTATTGTTCCTTTCATGTGAAATGGAGTAGATAGAGCTTAAGATTGTAGTGCAAAGCTGAGCTGTGGCTGCCTATAGAAGCCAAGTGAAACCTTTTAATGTACAGACCATTAAGAGGGAAAGCAGGGTAGTGTTTGCTATGCCTGTAAAATGGGCTGGAAGTGCTGCTCACACCTGTCCTTCCCTGCCCACGCCAAGGCAATATTTACTCAGCAGCATAAGATAATGTCAGGATGACTTTCATTTCGGCTAGTAGCAATGATAATCACCATGACCTAATTTCAAAGGCTGTAATGTACTATTTATGTTCATCCACACAAACTCAATTTCAATTACTTCCATTTTATTCCTATTGGGAAAAAAAACCAAAAAAAAAAAAAAAGGGAGAAAAAAATTTTTAAAAGTTCTAAAAGAAGTGCTCCAAGGAGCATAGTGGGTTAGATTTTTCACTGTGGCTGGACAGAAGGGCCTTAAAATTCCCAGCAGAGCACCAAGAGGAACAGTGCTTGACCTTATGCACTGACCCAAGGCAGTTCCCAAACTGCTGTTGCATCTGAAGTTAAGCAATGCTTCAAAAAGCTGCCTCTGATTTTCTGTCATCTGTCTGTCTTGGTTCCTCAGCAAGGGCACAGCAAGCCTAGTTTTAGTTTGTCTCAGCTGAATCTAATGGCTACAAGTGAGTATTTAAAAATACATAGCTATTAAAGAAGAAGTGATGACAGAGACTATTTTTTCTGTTCCACAACTAAAATCAACCTTTACATCGGCTATCCTGGTGAAACAGAAGAGTGTAGATGCTGTTTTTCTGGTCTCATAGCAGCACTGTAGGTCCACAGTCTATGATGCAAAGTTGTTTCCTGTTGCACATTTTTTTCAAAACTGGCAATGTAGAAGCTAGGCCCAGCACACAGTGTATTCAGGGTTGAATGAGGCATTTTTAGGCATTCCAGAGATGGGAAGTAAAATAGACAAGTGCCTGGCATGTAAAAGACTAATCTTTTCCTCTGAGAAAAGTTAAAATTACACTATCAGTGGAAAAATCTGGCTGAGCTTCATTTTCACTTTTGCTTCCAAACTCCTCCTAAACAAAATTCTGTTGAGTAGTCAGTTCAAACACAGAACTTCTTACTGTCACGTAGCACAGCATCACAGTTCATTTTTTTTTTACTGGACTTACTTATGGGGTTTTATGTAGGCTTGTGCATTAAAATTCTGTTCTGTGACATAATGATTATTTCCTCTTGCTTTTAGGTTTTGTTTTGTCCACACTTTGATTTAACTTTGACCTGTTGGTGCTTTGGTGTTATGAATTATCTTGCATATATTGCCATGCTGGTGAGTACTTGGGGAAATTTCCAGTTTAATGTTTTGGAAAGTCTGGGAATGAGATGCAGGCCTGTAATGATGTCCCCACCCGAAAGATGACAGTTTAGACATAAGGCATGTACAGCTTTTATTCAAATTCCCACAAGATGTTTTGAGTCCAAGCACCATTCCTGAGACTGGAGCAACTAATAAAAGCATTCTTACACAACAGTTCTTTGAGCAACAGTAAGTCCAAAAGTAAAGTGTCTCAAAGGCACTCAGATAACCTCTTCAAAATGGTAAACCACATTTCATGACAGCATAATTCTCAGTAAGTTCATGTTACTCTATGTGAAGACCCATAGCTTTCCAGTGCTGCAGTGCCAATAAATCCCCATGAGTTCACTGTTGGTCTCAAAGCTAAAGTGCAGGAACTTTAGATAAAACAGACACAAAAAGTGCGATTTACGTCATGTGAGATGAAGAGTTTTCACAGACTCACATTCCCACTGTCTCTTGAGGCCCTGATAGTTGGGGTTGACAAGTATAAAGCATTAGGTTGAGATTTAAAATCATCTCCTCAAAGAAAACAAACAAACAAACAAACAAACAAACATAAATGGAATAGTATTATTTTTAAAATCTGCAATAAGTGAAGCAAATAAATAACAGATTTTAACAACTGAATGGTAAAGAGTGAAAGCCCTATCATCATTGTATGCAAACTTTTCTGGGCCATAATGAAGTTACAGTGGCTCCTCAGAGCTGCCATTAATTACAAAGACATCCTGCCACAATGTTTTCAGATGGAAGAATTATCTTTTTCACCTGTAGTCCAAGTTCTGAGTTTTCTATTACATCAAAGCTATCACTATCAGCCATATAAATGAAATAACAAAATTGAAATCTGGTTAGATAGCCTCCAAGTTGTCAGTAAAATACTTGCATCTTAATAAATTTTGCAGAACTGGGACTTCAGCAATGAGGTGAAAAGTCCTACGTCTTCAGTGCTGATATAGCGTGAGCTGTAAGTTAAAATGATAACATGAACAATCCTTTTTCCTGTAACCAGGGATATGTGTGTCATTCCAGGCCTCTGTGGTGAATTACCTGTGACTTTTATGCTTCAACTACTTACTCATCATGGAAAAAAGGTTCTTTCCATTGTTTCTTCAAAATATATGATGCTGAGAAATATACATGTTTGTCATATGACTTATTGCGTATTGCAGAAATGTCAAAATGAAGAAGTAGAACAAAACCACAAGAAGAAACTACCTCTCCTTTAATTTCTTCATTTCAGTAAGTGCACAGAGGAGGCTAAGGTCTACAAAGCAAAAAAAGTCTACAACATACAAAAAGCCATGGGAAGCCACGCTGTGCTCAGACAACTTGCACTGGAATTATGTCCAGGCATGCACCAACACTGTCCTCTAGACTGCTGCTTGCCTTGAGTGTTAATAATTTTCACATGGCACAATTGCACTGAAGTTTCACACCATCACATGAAAAATAAGAGGCTTTTGGCTACAGCAAGTGCTGATTTCTGAAAGATGGAAGTGTTTTTCTGGAAGTGTCATTTTGGTAGGTTCAG